ACCAAAATTTGTTGGCCTGTCCGTTGACTGTTTCTGTTACTGTTATCCGCGGTTAACCCAACGCATATTCAGCATATTATGTTGCCAGTATTTTTAGACCAAAACATTTGCCATGCCAAAGCAACAACAACAACAACAACAACAGCAGCAGCAGCAGCAAGCATATTAAATTTTATTGTAATAATATTTTAATTGCTGCCACAGTCACGTGCAGAAGTTTCGACTGGCTGTGCAAACAGTTTGTATTTATTGTGGTTTGTTCTGCCCACTTTTTTTTTGCCGTGTACGTGCGGCTGACAGCTGAGCTGAAGCTGAGTGGAGCTGCGTGGAGGAGCTGTAGCTGAGCTGAGTTCAGCAGGACAACAGCAGCTCAGCAGCAGATCCAAAGGGCACGCCCCCATTTCCCCATGGCCCCATGGCCCCATCGCCCCATCAAGTAAAAATAACGAGCGCCAATTAATTTGGGCTAAGTACGTGTTAAAAATGTGTAGCATGCAATTAGAAGTTGGCCAGCAAATTTATGGGGCAGCCAGGGGCTGGGGAGGGATTACGTACGATTGGGCTTAGGAATTTCGGTATTGAAATCAATGCGCGTAGCTGGCGGAATTTCAATTTTTATTGCCATTTGGCATTGCGGCGGCTTTGATTGATGAATGCGGCATGCCTAATTTCAGATCTGCACAATGTGAGCAAAGCGCATACGATTGCCTCCTCCTCGACAGCATCCAGCAGCTCGTCGTCCTCCTGCTCGACCAGCTCGGCGGCAGCGGCAGCGGCGGCAGCAGCAGCCATTAGCTCGGCGGCCGTGGCTGCGGCCACCAGCAGCGCAGTCGTCTCCATGGCCACGCATTTGGCCAGTGCGCATCAGTCGTCGCCCGGTCACCATCATCCGCATCAACATCCGCATCCGCATCAGCATCAGCATCATGGGCATCATATGGGCGCCGGCGGTGGGCAGCTGCAGCCGCCCACGCACCACCATATGGTGCATGCCCATCCACAYCCGCTGACCCATCATCATGCCGCGCTGGCCAGTCTGGCCGGACTGCGTGCGATGCCGGGTGGCATGAGCCTGGTCAGCGGTTTGCAGGCGGCGGCAGCCGGTGGCGCCATACCCGATCTCTGTCCCGTCTGTGGACTGAAGCTGAGCCCCGAGGAATGGCATACGCACTTCCTCACCGAGCTGGACCGCCTGTACAAGCTGAGCGCCGGCTTCGAGCGCGCCAATCTCCAGGCCACCTACATGTTCGCACCGCCCTGCCCAGCCCAGGAGAATGCCATACGCNGCACTGACGCCCAATATGCCGCCCTCCAGCATGCACAACTCGAACGCCCAGCCGGGCAAATTGGATGGCATACTTTATCGCACGGCGTGCGTTATTAACCAGAAGGATGCGCATGGAGATGAGCAGGATGTGAGCACCAACGTGACGGCAGCCAGCAGCAGCAGTGTCAGCTGGTCGGGCGAGACAACGGCCAGCACTCAGGCGCACATCAGCGGTAAGTCGAACAGTCATTTCGGTCGGGAGAGGGACGATAATTGATCCTTGTACACTTGTCCCTGTGCAGTGAAAAACGTCAGCGAGCTGTCATCTACCACACATCACTATTACAATGCGGACTCCTGCGGCGTGGGCGTGGCTGAGCATAGCAACAGCGCCAACAGCAGCAGCAACAACAACAACAACAGCAGCAGCAGCACCAACAACAAGGAGCTAATGATGGATACGGCCATGTGCCAGAACGACAGCGATGAGGATGTCATTGTGGATGACGATGAAACTGTGAAAATGACGACCAAGTCGCACAGCTTTAAGCGACGGCTGGAGGATAATGTGGCCAGCAGCCGGTAAGCAAAGCTCGGATAATTAGCTTAGCGTCAATCCAATTAACTGCATGCCGTCTCTTTCTCTCTCCATCTGATAGCAGCTTGGAAAACATTTCGCCCAACGAGGAGCGTCCGCGATCGGAGCCACAGGTTAGCAGCACCGAGCCAGGGCCAATGGATATCTCACACAGCAACAACAACAAYAAYAACAAYAATAATAATAACAACAACAACAATACGMCAACTGCAACCAAATATGCGGAGACCATGGAGAACAGTCTGTCGCAGCTATCATCAATGGGCGTGCCGGGATTAACACAATTGGACACAAAGGTGGGAATTAGTTCGGATTTAAAACCGGACGATGAAAACAAATGTTTCATTTGTAAGGTAATTTCTCAGTTTGCTTCAGTTCAATTTTTTGTATGCGCCTTCTCGCTTCCACCACTTGTTTCTTCAATGCACTATTTTTGAAAGCTTTACACACACACACGCACTCACTCACTCTCTTCAATTTCTTCATTTGTACGCGCTTCCACTTTCTAACTGTTCTTTGCAAGCATTGCGCACACACACTCACTCACTCTTTCTTTCTCTTAAGTTTCTTCATTTTGACCCGTTTTGTTTTCTCTTTAAGCGCTTCCACTGCCTAACTCCTCCTTGCACTATTTTTGCATGACTTACACACACACACGCTCTCTCTAACTGCATAACTCTTCTTTGCACACTCTTACAACTATCTGATTCCCGCTCTCGCTCAGTTTGATTACCAGTCTAAGCTATGTTCTGCTTTGTCTATCTACTCTCTCAAGACAGGCATAAAGGATCTCAACACAGATGCGTTT